AATAACTTAGATAAAAATCAGCAAGACTGGGGGGCATTAGGTACCTGGAACAAAGCAAAATGGATGAGATGAAGAACTAATTGGGGCCGGCCAAACCAAAAATATTTGTCAGAGCCTTGCACAAGAGGCATTCCTTGGACCACTGCATGCCTTTCTGTGATTTCAAGAGCCATCTTTATCAAAATGGCTTGAAGCTTTGTCCCAACAGCTAGGATTATCTGTAACGATTAAATGATTATGACACCAAAATCTTTGAACATTCTAATGCTGTTACAAGTTAAGCTAACTTACAATGACTGGAATTAAAGATGCCCATATTAACATGTGCCATCCTGAAGAGGAACATAATTTATGAGCAAGAGGAACACAGCTTCTAATTCAGTCTGGAAATGCAAATATATACTGTTTTTGGATTTTTCCAAGAAAAAAGTGGCTTACCATTAACATTTAGGAGTACAAAGACCACAAAAGATGCCCACAACACAGGACTGCAAGCAAAATGATCATGGGTTGAGACACATTAAGTACAAGGTATGACTATCATAGGAAGATAAATGATGTGCAGAAAGTGGAACTAGTACCTTACTCCGACGACTACTTTGAAATCATCTTCTAATGATCTTTTGATGTATTTTTGGAAATCAAATTTCCTTCCTGGAGCTAAATGTACCTATAAGATCAGCAGAGAATTGTCAGGAAAAGAATGATAAACTCAACATTGGATATTGTTAGATCTGCAATCATATCTTACAGCGATAAATCCATTTCGCAAAGTCAAGTAATCAGTTTTCCCAACAGACCTGAAAAACTGCCTGAAGAAGCATCCCTACAATGATTAAAGGAGTCAGTGTTGGCTTAAATAGGTAGTGTTAAGTCATAATATTAACTAAAACAACAAAGAGCACTTGAAGAACACATCGAAAGTAACTAGAATCTTTCCAACTGGCAACTGGCTATCATGGTGCTTTCAAATTCTTTGTATGTCAATGAAAAGAAATGAGAGAAAGCATGCTTATTAAAAGAACTAATACTTAACAATATAAAAGAAGAAAGGAATCCTTGTCCAGAAACTGTTGTGTGCTTTCACAAACGATGTCTCATGAGTAAGCCTGAATCTTGAGGGGTCTGTGCACAAACATGCATCAGAATTAGTTATAGAGGCCAGATAGGTTCCGAATTAAAATGTAGGGATGAAGTTGTAAAACCATGATCAATAGTGACAAACTGAAATATATAGGTTACAGCATGTACAGGAAAATATACCATTAGAAAACTCATAGTCATGAGATAAAGCTTCACGCTCCCACTCCTTCCAGCCACGAATCTGTACAAGGCAGATTTCAATGAAAAATTAGAAGGTAAAGATCTAAGCTTTTTAACAGCTAATGTAGTAAAGAGTCCAAGGACATCAAAGTTCATTGATGGGGCATTGGCGCATTGCATTTTTGACATCTTCTTCTTCTTCAATTTGGCATGTGATTTTATTTATCTACTGAAACATAGCATAAGATCAAGCAAGACATCAAAAATACCTTACTTAGTAGAGAAATTATTACCTTTAGCCTCCCAAGCAACATTGTAACGGCACTATAGAGAACATGGCAAACTGCCAAGAAAAAAATGAGGATGTGCAACTGATGCAACGCATGACTAGATATAAGCGGTTTATAACCCTGAAGAGACAAAATTCAATTAATTAATACTTAGGAAGACTACTGAATTCGGTGTTTAAACATAATGCTGTACAATAATCTGGAAAGAAAAAAAAAAAGGAACAGGTCGAAGAACCTGTCAAAAAGAAAAAATTCAATAACTGAGAAAAATAAAACAGCAATACATACACACTCACCTCCTTACATGTAGGTGAAGTATCAACAGCAGCTAAATATCTTCCCTCAAACCACAAGAGTTTTCGCCTACCATCCCCACTGCTACTGCTATTGCTACCATCATTAATGCCATCAGCTTTACAGGGCAACATGTTACCTCCAACCTTCGAAGAAATACAGATCCTGGCTATGTTAGTCGCTACGAAAGTCAACAGCAGTGAAATGAAACCCAGAATCATCAGCTCTGCAACAATCATTCAAAAGTCCAAACAAGCATCAACAATTTGTTGTCCCCAAAGTAACATCGAAATTTTAAAACCATTCTCACGCTTCCAAATCAGGATCAATATCATATTCCGTTAATTATAATTATAAAGTGGCTCTTACCAGCTTTGATCTTCTCCAGAGCTTCGAAAAGGGCTTTCTTGCGCCTCTCTGTGAACCACTGATATCACAACAAAGAGGTTAAACAAAAAGTACCCAAGACAACCAAAATATTGACAGAAAGATCCAAAAGATTCAAACATCAGAACACAACAGGGACTTTTTTTTTTTTTCCTGAATCCCAAATGACAAATGTAATTCTGCAGAAATAAGATAACCCCCAAACATCCAATGGAAAACAAAGATAAAAAAACACACTTAATACAGAATCAAGCGCGTATAATCAAAATAAGAAAAGTAAAAGCTTGAAGTTAAATCCATGAAATGAACTGAAAACAGAAAATCTCAAGTAGAGAAATCAGCTAAGAACAAGAAGAAACGCATAAACAAGGCGAATTAATTAGCACAGTGCCTACCGTTCCAAGTTTGTGAAGATACTTTTCCAAGAGAACCGAGATGATGATGAGAACAGCACAGACACTGGCAATCGCCCATGTCGGCGTCTGACTAAGCCCTCTCTCCCCTGTACTCTC